GGAAAACACCTCTAATACTCTTACTGTGGCTTGCTGAAAAGGCCATGACCACGAAGCTATCATCTGCTGGATTGGCGAACGCCTCTCAGTCTTCAGGGTTTTTCGGCGCTTCGGAAGAGGGAGGGCGTAGGTAGGGGGCTGGACTGTGTGCGCTGTTTTTTCCGCCTTCGCTGTCTGCTCTTCCTATCATTGAGATGCAGAAAACCCAAACCCAGAGACTCCAAAACTTCTTACTTAAGGAATATGCAGTTTAAATTAGAACGGAACCCTACTTAGATTTAAGGTCAATTCCTTAATTAAGGGGTTTTGGAGTCTCTGGGAAGTGTCGGAGTGTTCACCCGCCAATAGGGATCTGAGCTGGTTTAAACCGTTTGAGACACGTTGGTTGCCCTGGATGCTGCAAGAAAAATCGAAGTCAGCACGAGAGGAACACCTCTAATACTCTTACTGTGGCTTGCTGAAAAGGCCATGACCACGAAGCTATCATCTGCTGGATTGGCGAACGCCTCTCAGTCTTCAGGGTTTTTCGGCGCTTCGGAAGAGGGAGGGCGTAGGTAGGGGGCTGGACTGTGTGCGCTGTTTTTTCCGCCTTCGCTGTCTGCTCTTCCTATCATTGAGATGCAGAAAGCCCAAACCCAGAGACTCCAAAACTTCTTACTTAAGGAATATGCAGTTTAAATTAGAACGGAACCCTACTTAGATTTAAGGTCAATTCCTTAATTAAGGGGTTTTGGAGTCTCTGGGAAGTGTCGGAGTGTTCACCCGCCAATAGGGATCTGAGCTGGTTTAAACCGTTTGAGACACGTTGGTTGCCCTGGATGCTACAAGAAAAATCGAAGTCAGCACGAGAGGAACACCTCTAATACTCTTACTGTGGCTTGCTGAAAAGGCCATGACTACGAAGCTATCATCTGCTGGATTGGCGAACGCCTCTCAGTCTTCAGGGTTTTTCGGCGCTTCGGAAGAGGGAGGGCGTAGGTAGGGGGCTGGACTGTGTGCGCTGTTTTTTCCGCCTTCGCTGTCTGCTCTTCCTATCATTGAGATGCAGAAAGCCCAAACCCAGAGACTCCAAAACTTCTTACTTAAGGAATATGCAGTTTAAATTAGAACGGAACCCTACTTAGATTTAAGGTCAATTCCTTAATTAAGGGGTTTTGGAGTCTCTGGGAAGTGTCGGAGTGTTCACCCGCCAATAGGGATCTGAGCTGGTTTAAACCGTTTGAGACACGTTGGTTGCCCTGGATGCTGCGAGAGCAATCGAAGTCAGCACGAGAAGAACACCTCTAATACTCTTATTGTGGCTTGCTGAAAAGGCCATGACCACGAAGCTATCATCTGCTGGATTGGCGAACGCCTCTCAGTCTTCAGGGTTTTTCGGCGCTTCGGAAGAGGGAGGGCGTAGGTAGGGGGCTGGACTGTGTGCGCTGTTTTTTCCGCCTTCGCTGTCTGCTCTTCCTATCATTGAGATGCAGAAAGCCCAAACCCAGAGACTCCAAAACTTCTTACTTAAGGAATATGCAGTTTAAATTAGAACGGAACCCTACTTAGATTTAAGGTCAATTCCTTAATTAAGGGGTTTTGGAGTCTCTGGGAAGTGTCGGAGTGTTCACCCGCCAATTGGGATCTGAGCTGTTTTGGACTGCCTGAGACACGTCTCTGGATGCTGCGAGAGTAATCGAAGTCAGTACGTCTTTCTCTTATCATCAGTTGGATTGCGACTGAACGCCTCTCAGTGTTCAGGGTTCTTCCGTCATTTATAGGGGCTGGGCTGTGTGCGTAGCGTTTGCTTCTTCGCTCTCTGCTCTTCCTATCACTGAGATGCAGAGCCCGTTTAACATTCTGAAATTCTAAAAAACCGCTACAGGTTTGAGTTTATGAGCTGATCGCTGCGATTTGCGGGCGCCTTGTCAGAGCAGTTCGCTGCAGTCTAAAAGCTTGTCATGCCGTAAAAGCCTAAACGAAAGCAGGTCACTGTAGCGTGCCTTGGAGAACGCATCAACTTGTTTGTGCATGATTTTTCAGAAGCAACTTGTTGGCCAGATAGAAGCCCTTGCAGTTCAGCTTTGCCCTGATGCTTTTAACCTTTGCTTTGGGCAAAGGTCGTGGGTGCCGGATGCCGCGGGCGGAAAAAATCGCTCGAGTATCAGAGTGGATGCGAAGGTGCCCAGCCGAGCGGGAGCATCACTCGCGAGTCCCGGGCTGGGCACCTTCAAAGAAGAGTTGTGCAAAGAGGCCAAGGCTCAAACATGCGATGCTCTTTATGCTCAACCCCCCTTTGTTTTTAATGCTCTGCGATGCTCTTTGTGCTTTGCCCCCCCTTTTTTTGAATGCTCTTAGATGCCCACGCAACAACGTTTGTTTCCAGCAGCGCCAGCGCAAATCAGGGTGGCTGGGCCAGCTTTGGCAAGGCCCAGGTCTCATTCCCACCTATGGGCAGGGGTGGCAGGTGGCGTAAGCCCTGGGTTGAAACCTGGTCAACCCTGTCAGGAGCCCTTTCCTCTGTTGGAGGACTAAACTGCAGAGGGTCTTTGTTTCGGCAGCTAATGCCTGAGGTTTTGCCTCCAAAAAGCCGTTCCACTTCCTAAGGGCCGTTCCGCTTCCTCAGGGCCGCGTTTCGCCCCTTGGGTCCAGGCTTCATTTTGCCTCCAAAAAGCCGTTCCGCTTCCTAAGGGCCGTTCCGCTTCCGAAGGGCCGCGTTTTGCCCCATGGCCCCAGGCTTCATGGTTTCGCAGGAGGAGGTGACTTCTCCTAGCCGTAAAGTGCTCCTGTGGCGCAGTTCCTGGGGTGAGTGCCCACATTCAACTCTCTTCTGCCAGTCAGCAAAGTCGTAGACCACCAACCTTGTGCACTCCTAACCAAGTTTTACGAATGTCCATGATCTGCTGTTTTTTTCCAAGCGAAAACACAGATCACGGACTCTAAAAGTCTGTGATCCCTTGCAAAAAACAGCAGATCACGAGCCCGTCCCAGTCCGTGATCTGTACAATTCCCTGCAAAAAACAGCAGATCACGGACTTTCATAAGAACTTGTTTTGAAATCTTTGAATTCAATAAAGGTTAAATCAAAAAAGTAGGTGAGGCCCGTGATCTCCTGTTTTTTCCAAGGGAAGTTACAGATCACAGGCTCTGCCGGGCCCGTGATCTGCTGTTTTTTGCACGCGATCACGGGCTTTTAGACTCTGTGATCTGTATTTTTACTTGCAAAAAACAGCAGATTAGGCCCCCGAAGCATCTCGAGGATTGGTTCAGCGCCGCGTTCAGGCGTATGAGCGGCTAACCAAAGCAGAGGTTCGCCAGAGCATGGAATGTGAAAGATTGAAATGTGAAGCCTTGATATGGAGAACGGCAAAATTCGCAAAGTTTGATCCTGCTTGCAAGTTCTCCAAAAAGGTCCTCGCTCGGGTCATGGCTTGGAACGAGACAGTCTGTGGAGAGATCAAGCTTTTCGCAGGAAACGGAGGGTAGTGCTCTCAGAGTCTGTTGAAGGAAACAAAAGCCAATGTTTCATTTGACTTTGAAGGACTGGCTCGCTGCTGGCACGAAGACTCTGATGCCTTGAAGGCAGGAAAAACCTCAACACTTGCTGGCTTATTGAGACGCGAATCCCCCCATTCCGCCTGCAGGCAGTGTTAAGAGAAGTGTGTCGCTTGCATGCTGGATCCAAAGATCAGGAAGGGTTGTTGAGTCACCTAACCGCAGCAATCTGCCGCATCCAGGTTTGTGAGCTCCGAAAAGAAGGGTTGAAAAGGTGAAAAGAAAACGGCGGCAACGCACAGGTCCTCAGGTGTTCGCACAGTCTTGAGTATTGCCAGGGCCTGGCACGACGGGTAAAGCAAATCCAAAAGAAAACGGCGGCAACGCACAGGCCCTCAGGTGGGACCACACCGAACCCATGGTGTTTGCAGTTTGCGGCGGTGTTAGAATTGAAGCCAGATTCGTTGGAAAGAGGAGCATCGTTGGGCACCTGCAATGCAGAATTGCTTTGGCACGCAGGTGGATGAGATTTTTCCACACATTTCTTGTGTAGAGTGCTTGCTTCTTGGAAAGGGCAGCTTTGTTTAGGCGTGAGAAGTACGCACATTTGTTTTGGTGTGGTTGGAGCATGTTTCGAAACCATTGCACATGTTGTCGAAACCTTTCCGCAAGCCACAGCCTACCGGGAGCCAGTTCTAATGTCTAATGTTTAGAAAGCTGCAGTCCATGGCTCAACGGCTGCCGAACAAACGCAGCGAGGAAAAGTTGCGGTGGGTGCCCGCTCTCTGTGGGTGCTGTGTCCCTTCACTTTTCCTCATGTGAAGTGCAATTCACAATTTGCTCAGTCTCTGCAAGGCTGTGTGTGTTGATCGTGTGAGACCTGCAAAGACGATTTATGTGGGTAGAAGCCCAGTGTAGTCTTCGAAGTGCTCGAGCAGCCGTCAGCTTGCAAAACTGGGGGGACCTTTTCCTCCTGCAAGAGTTTTCTGGTCAGAGGCAGTTTCCTACCAGAGGCCGTATCTCTCAGGAGGCCGTTTCCTACGAGAGGCTGTTCACCCTCCTCGCGAAAGCTTTTCCTGGAGTCTGCCCACTGTGGTTTAGATCGAAGGCAAGTGTCGGTATGCTGGTGTACCGCCCTCGAACTCGCAAGCTAATACCCACTGTTTGGAGAAGAATCTCGAAGTTCAAAGCGAAACCTCGTCAGGTGTCGAAAACAGCAGAAGGTTCAAGGCGTCGTGACTACATGAGGCGTGCCTCTCACAGCATAGCTAGCGCAACACACGCCGAGACGTGCTGTATTAAAACACACATGTCTGAGCGAACGGAAGCAATCTACAGCTGTTTCCACGGACCTACTTGGGTGTGAAGGTTGCAGAATGCAGTTCACTCAAGCTTGCAGCTCGAAGCCACGATATCGCGGCAAAGAAATTCAAAGAAGTTTTCGGACAAGCCTTTGTACAACACTTTCTGCGGAAAATCGCTTGCAACATCATGCAATGATCTGACCATGGCATCAATGCGGATCCATGGCCGATGGTGCGCAGGCGCCAGAGTTGCCACAACAGGCGCCAGATAATGTGGCACAGGCAGTGCTTGCGCCAGACGTGGCAGAGGAGGTGCTGGACGAAGCAGCAGATCAAGATCGAGACTGGGGCTTGTGGGACTCCGTCACCGGTGTCAAGCTGGGACAGACTGCTGTTGCAGATGCTTTGGGCAGACTCGTGAAAGGCGTGGACCTCAAGACCGTGCGCTGTTCTGCAGTATGCCAGCAACTGGCCGCCGCGTTACAGATTGATGTTGCCGCTGTCACTGCGAGACGTGCGGAAATCGAGCAGCTCCTGGGGTCGATCGTTCAAAACGAAGCCGAAAGGCAGCTAGCGGAGCGGATTTCCAAGCGCAGGCGGGTGGATCCTGCTGCCGACGAGGTTCTGCGCGAGATGCAGGATCGGAGTCTTCGTGCGCGCACGTTGCTGCTGACCTTTGCAGCGCCCAGTCCGAGTACAGCTGTGGATGGTCGACCGCTGCAAGATCCCGGAGTTTACAGCCGTCGTGAGATCCGCGCCTTGGTCCGAATTGGTAGATTTTTCTTTTTGTGGCTGTACTATCTCCTGTCTTCAGGATCCAAGCTTGGGTTGCTTGGTAGATGGGAAGGAACTCTGGCAGTCAAAGCTGGATTCGAGCTGAGGAGAGCTTGCGCAAAGCAGCTTGGCCAAAGCGCAGCCTGCTGTTCGACTGCTCAAGTGTGCGGTTTTTCGGGAAGCCCACTCAGATGGTCGCTTCCACTTTCACATGTGTTGCCAATTCGACCGGCCGGTGTTTTGGAACCTATGGCGACAGCATCTCCGAGAACACCACGCGTTGGCTTGCAGCTTTCAACAAGTTGCCGAGAAAAACGCGGGTTATCACACCATGATCCGCTACTGCTACGTGCCGAGCCAGAAGAAGCGTCTCGAGACTCTGGATGGAAGTCCTGACCTTTGGTCTGCGGACGGGCCCCATCCACCCCTGTATGAGGCCATGAACCGACCTAGCAGTGCAACTACTGTGTCTGAAGACCGGACTCGGCATGTGCAAACTCGCGCTGCTCAGGGTAAGGCGCCGGCTCGCGTGAACGAAATGCATTTTTGGCCCATACTAGTCAGGCACCAGCTGCGTCCGGAGCAGCCGGACTTTGTGCCAAGGCTGTGCCAAATCATCAAAGCAAGCGGCGACACGCAGGCTCTGGAATTTCTTGCCAAGAATATGGACAGCATGCAAGACATTGGCCGTCGTCTTTGGATGTTGGAAAATGCGGAGGCCGAGCTGCAGCATCTCAACAAGACCCGCCTCGACCTGACTGTCGAAGCGGCCAGGACGCCGTGCAGTTGTCAAGGCGTGTGGCTGCACGCTGCACGGGAAAGACTCGCCACGAATGGCTTGGATCCCGCCTCTTTCTGGCAGTGCATCTACCAGGCATTGCGAGATGGACGTCGCAAGGGGAATACCCTGTGTTTGACTGGCAGGTATGGAAACGAAGGCAAAAGCAGCCTGCTTCGTCCGCTCTTTCACGTGTTCCCGCAGTCTGTCTTCACCTCGCCGACTTCACGAAGTTTTCCGCTGATCATGCTTCCGAGGACAGTGATTTCGGCTGGATTTTCCATTGTGTCTGATCTAGACTTCAAAAGACCTTTCCCCTAAGCACCCTTCTCTTCTTTCTTACGCTGCATGGACAGGAAACGAGTGGTGTTTTTGGATGATTGGAGGTGGAACGGCGAAATTATTCCCATGAACCAACAACTCCTGTGGCTTGAGGGAGCAGCACTGCAGATCTCTGTCCCGCAAAACACAGCACGCGGCCACATCGAATATGCGGATACAGCCCCCATCTTCGTGACCTGTTCCGTCTTGGAGCTGGAGGTTTGCGGAAAACATGTGACCCCGTCTGATTTCGCCATGCTTCAGAAACGCCTGCGAGTCTTTCATTTCTCCCGACCTTTGGAACGACCCATGGACAACTTGGTCTATTGCGCGAGTTGCTGGTCGCGCTGTGTGTTACATGGAACACCTGAATGGATGCAAGTGGAGGGACCACCGCCTGCCATAATTCCAGCGCCATCGGCTGGAAGCGTCGCTTCAGAGGCCGCAGATCATGCCCCGCCTCCACAAGACGCCACGGAGCCAGAGGCAGACGTGTCAGCTGCGTTCATGCGCAAGAACTGCGTCAACTGGACGGTGCAAGATGTGGCTGCTGCACTAAAATTTTTGGACTTGCCACACTAGGTGCCAGACGTGGAACGGAGCGGCTTGGATGGCGGCTTGATCTCGTGTATGTCGTGGGACGAACTCAGACAGGATTTGAACTGGACGGCATTGCAAATGAAGAAGTTTGCACGCTTCTGGGACGGTCGTTGCGTGCAGTCCGCTTGAAAAGGTGTAGACTTCACGCGCTTCGAACCCCCGCTCCCCCAATCTCAAGGTTGAAATCAGACACGTTGTTCAGATGTTTTGGACCACTGCTGTGCCCGCGCTCTGACCGACAACAGTGTAAGCCCGAGAGCCCATGTCTTCAGCGGCCCTTCAGCAGGGTTTAGGACGCCCAAAACGCCATGTCTTCAACTTTGAGACGAGGGGTTGCAGGGGAGAGTTGTTAGCAGTACATCTTTTGGAAGCCTCAACTTTCGTCTTGTGCATATGGCAATGTTCAACGACTGTTGTTTCAAACCTCTAGCACAGACTACCTAGCAGCAGCCTGCAGAGTTTCATTTTGGCTAGGTTCCAGGCCATGCTGCATTTAAAACTTTGTCGGGTGAGGCCGGAAACCAAGGCGAAGCCGTCGGATCGTGGTTGTGGAGGGCCTAGAACCGAAATGACAGCAGCAGACGTGCTTTTGGAGGGCCTGGAACCGAAGTGAAAGCAGCAGACGTGGTTTTGGAGGCCTGGAGCCAAAGTGAAAAGCAGCAGACGTGGTTTGGGAGGGCCTAAAACCGAAGTGAAAGCAGCAGACCTGCTTTTGGAGGGCCTGGAACCAAAGTGAAAGCAGCAGACGTGGTTTTGGAGGCCTGGGACCAAATTGAAAAGCAGCAGACGTGGTTTGAGAGGGCCTGGGACCAAAGTGAAAGCAGCAGACGTGGCTTTACAGGGGCTGGGACAAAAGTGAACCAAAGTGAAAAGCAGGAGACGTGGTTTGAGAGGGCCTGGGACCAGAGTGAAATCAGCAGACGTGGTTTGTCAGGGCTTGGGACCAAAGTGAAAGTAGCAGACGTGGTTTGGGATTCGTATGTTGTCGAGACCGAAGCATGAGCAACACCATGCCTTCTAGACACCACGCTCCGGTAGACGTGATTTTGGGGGGCCTGGGACCAAAGTGAAAGCAGCAAACGTGGTTTTGCAGGGCCTGGATCCAACTGTGCGCAGCGTCATCCTTGTGCAGGGGGCTATGCGGGACGATTTATGTGTGTCTTGCTGGCGCAGGGCTTGGGACCGCTTTATGGGGCTTGATTCCCACAGCAAGTGCTAGGAGGCCAAGTCGTTCCTGTAGAGTACGCCATAGAGCCACTGGTCAGCAACCGGCTGTTACCACTACAGTCGATTTTACAGAGAGCTTCTCTGTCGCTGTACTCGACCTCCATGCAGTGGAGGTTGGATTGCTCTACCTTGCTCATTCGGTTGCGAAACCGAATGTCCGCGTTGAAGACCGCCTTTGCACCTGCGGCCGAATTCATGCTTTGGTCACTGCGCTATGTAGCATCCCTGCAGGTGCTTACCTTACTGTCCATGTGCAGCGGTACCCTGCGGATGCACTGTATGTCCAGTTTGATGGAGGATGCAAGCGACACTTAACAGCTGGGGGGGCTGGCGTAGCGATGTGGCATCACCGGCGCGGCGGACATTACTTTCTCATTGCCTTTACTTGACTGTGCAGATGCCTACGAGGCCGAGGCGGAGGCGGCAATACTAGCGGCAATCCGGTCATTAGAATACGCGCTCACCCTCAGGGGAAGAGGAGTATCAATTCGAGTCGTTCATATTCAGGGAGATAATCTTGCCATAGTCGCTTACTTGGCCGGATTCGGCCGGCTCCGCCGGGTTAGCTTAGTAAAACGCTTCCAAAGCGCATGGGACGCCCTCGCCAGGTCTCACATTCGGGTAGAGTGGGAACAAGTCCCGCGAAGCGCCAACACGGTTGCAGACTCGCTTGCCGGAGAGGCGCTTGAAGCGGCTATCCTTTTACAGTCCCATTCCCTCGTGCCAACGACTCTTTATGTCAGTGTTTTTGATGCTCCGCCGTCGGTCTTCCCGCCTACAGCTGGTCTGTCCGCTGCGGTTTTAGAGGCGTTACAACCTTTTGTGCGCGTCATTGGACCGGTCTGCAACTCTCCATTACGCTGCAGCAATGCAGGAAAGCAGAGAGGTAATCTCATTGCCGGAGCCGGAGCCTTTGCACTTCCTCCATGTTGGTCGAGCTCTAACTGTGCTTGGATCCCACCACTTAAGGGGCATACGAGCGCTGCGTGATCTTTGGCAGGCCTTTCCTTTCTGGAACGCTCGTTGCCAATGACTATCACCGCAGCTCAGCCGCCCCACAGGGCTGCTACTACTGTCGAGCCGGAATTTCACATCTTACACGACCTATGCGCCTTCTTGCGCTCGGACCGCAATCTACTGAAATTGATCTTGTCGGAGCGCATTATGAGGCGTACGAGCCTTGACCATTTCCTTGGGACAGGCTAACTTGCTTCTGCCAGTGCAGCAGGCTAGGGAAATCCTTGCACGAGGCTGTCCGTCAGGCCGTGCTTGGGCCACACTGTCGCCCAAGCGACTCCTCAATTACACTATTAATAGCTCTACGGCCAAAGCCATCGGGCAGCTGCACCAGTGCGACCTCTCCTTCGCCTCGATAGCGGCAAAAAACGTTCTATACGCCATAGATGAGGCGAAAGCTTACCTTGCCGCTAACATGCATCGACTGCAATGGTACCAGCGAGATCAACGATCCACCTCTCGCAACTGGGTTTATTTCATGCTTGAGGCAGTTGAAAGCCGACTGGCTAGAGCGCTGCTCGTCTCGAGGCTACCTGATGTTGCGCAAGGGATAGTATGGCTCCACGATGGCGTGTACGTCAGAGACACAGACAGCGCAGTCCGTGTGCCAGTGCTGCAGCAGGCTGTAGCAGTCGAACTCAGTCAACTCCTTACCCTGAGTCTGCTGTTTACCTAATTTTACACTTTGGCTTGATTTACTGTAAACGAAGGATTTAGTGTAAAATGACCAAATTTACGTAAATTTTCTGGTGAGCTAAAAACATGACAAAACACATAAAAACATTATGCAAACACAAACATGGAACTCATATTTGCGGCTGCAAACTTAGACACCACATGTAAAGGATTTAAAAAAATCACCGGCATGAGTTTGTTTTGCTCTGCAATCGCAGACACCACATGTAAAGGATCCACAGCAGAAGTAAGGACTTTTCCGAAAATTCGCAGGCCCAAAGCCATAAACTAACCAAAGAGAATCCATGCAGATTGCTTATAAGATCCACACCAGTATATACGACAACTGTGATTCAAAAGCCCAAACAAAAGACCAGGAGCACCACATATAGCAGAGAGACACTCTTTTTTTTCGCGACAGAAAAGAAAGAAGCTCTCACGATCGCCCAACTTTGCCCCGCAGAAACAAAAGGTGCCTCTCTTTGAGGGCAGCCTTTTTGGAAGCATGCCAGTGCTTCACCCCTGCCAAACAACTCTTCCATAGAATCTGCAGGCGATGCATCGTCGTCTCTCCCTTGTAGCACCAGACCATCGACGGATGAATAAAACTGCTGAGTAGGAGACTATGCAAAACGAAGTGGGTCTTACTTGTGAGATTGAAGAGCTTCTCCCCCGTCCCTTTGTAGTGGGCTTGCAGGCTGCTGTGGAGCTGTGCCATTTGGCAACCGAGCTTGAAAGCCAGGTTTGCTTGCTCCTCAGGTAAAGCCAAGAAGCCGTACCGTGGCCCATAAGCTTCCAATATTTCAGCCAGCTGCAGGTTCAACCGCAAAAAGAGCCGGATTTGCTTGTGTTGATAGATACCCTCGTCCATTTGCTCTTCGAATAGAGCAAGAATTGCACTGTCCAAAGATTGAATATCGGAAGCTCTTCCTCTCATCTTGGGGAATCCTTTTTTTGGTTGTATCATTGTAAGTTTCAGAAGTCGCTGGCGGAATGTGTATCTGGTTTCGTTGTCTCGCTGGTACTTCTTGATGAAGGAGTCGCAGTATTTCAAATTCGCCAAGATACTCCCACCCAAACAATCGTGGACCACGATGCTGAGCACGGAGCCATAAAAAAACTGTATCCACCCCAAAAACATACAATGCATATAGTCCATCGTGATACAAAGTCCCGAAAAGCCAGGTAAAGAATACAGCTGGCATGATGGATTCCAGTGGGATCTCCAGTTGGTGGTGGTGAGGCACGAGGCTTGCCACGGCGAATTTGCACGATTGTCCATCCATGTTAGTGGTCCTTTGAAGGCGGCCCGACAAAGAGCACAAGGTTTGCTGTGATTGCTCCATCGTGGAACCTCCAGCCATTTCGCATAATAATCCAAGTCGCCAGCCATTTGAACCAGGACACCATAATATCCTCCGCATAGGTCGGTTCCCGCTCGTTCGCCCTCCTTTGTACTGGCCCCATACCTCTGTGCCGTGTAACAAACATTTTCTTACTTGTGAGACAGGTTCATATATATCTACATATATATATCTACATGTGGTGAGAGGGTTTTTTACGTATACTGTGTGGTGATTTTTCTCACATCCGGTTCGTGCTGCTTTGGGATTCCACGGGTCCGTGGTTTTGTGGCTTATATATGTTTATACGATATTATATACTGTGTATATATATATATATATCATCACCATCAAGGAAGCTGTTGGGTTAGGGTTGGATTTGAGAACAGGGCTCTCATACATAGGGTGTGTATGTATATAGTCACATATCTAAAACAGGACCCACATCATAAAAAATCAAGAAAGACAAAAAGGCTTACAGCTTATAGGGTTCCCACAGGGTCCTAAAATGTAAGGGTTTCCAGATTTCTGGCACATGTGTACATATACAACAACACACCAGGCTGCTTCTTGCCTTGCCAATCCCGAGCAGGCCATTTACCGGTGTAAAGAATGTTGAAAGACCAATACATCACTTGCCAAAAAGTTTCCATTGTCCCAGCCCCCTCGCCGCCAGCCGGAATAATGAACTTCTCAAAAACGCCCCAAATGTAGAGGTTGCAATCGGCAGCAGATCGGCCGGCCGCTGTGGCCATCAGCGATACCCATGAAAAAGCCAAAACACTGCGAGCCCATATCTTGCCCACTCCAAAAACAGGAACTTCGTCGCCGTGTATGCAAAGGGGAATAGCCCTTTGCATCCAATTA